TGAAAGAACACACCTGAGAGGTCCTACCCGAGGGGAGGAGTGTGTACCAAGGGGCAAGGCTCCCTCCTTCAGGGGTCTTGGTCTCAGTGATGATGTGTTACCCCCTCTCCACCCAGATTTGGAGAAGCGCAAAAATCCCGTATGCCACTTCGTCACTCCACTAGACGGCTCTGTGGAAGTGGATGAGCATCGCCGGCCAGAGGTAAATGGCGGTGGTCATGGGTGGCTGGGAAGGAACTTGCCCTCACTCAGGAGGAGACGACTCATGAGGGCTGGGGGCCAGGGTTGGGTTCCCCAGTGGGAGACCACAGGGCAGCATGCTGGGGCCGCACTGTCCTGTCAGCTCTTGTGACCTTGAGGAACCATGGGGATGTGGGGAGCAAGTGGCTCCCCCTTCTGAGAGTGGGCTGACCAGGGACTGGAGGACTCTCCAGTGGGGACTTACCCTCTACTTCCTGTGACTGCAGTGGGCTCCTTATAAGGCAGATATCTTTTTTTTTTTAATCTTCACCTGAGGATATTTTTAGAGAGTGGAGGTAGGGGGGAGAGACAGAGAGAGAAACATCGATGTGAGAGAGACACATTAATTGGCTGCCTCCCGCATGCACCTTGACCGGGTCTAGGGATTGAACCTGCAACTCAGGTACATGCCTTTGATCGGGAATCAAACCTGTGAACCAAATGCTATAACCACTTAGTAATACCAGGAAGTATTTTTGGGTGAGATTATGTGGGACTTTGGTATGATAGGGATCTGACGGTGAGTGGGCTCTCTGAGGCAGTCGTGAATTCCTTGTCACCGGACATTTCAAGGATGTGAAAGGACGCACGCCCCAAGTAATGGTTCAGTTGAACGACATACTCTTGGAAGTCAATCACTTTCCACCTGAAACTTCTGTAATTGACTGTTTGTTCTGACCCTTTGGAAATGTAGTAGTGACTACTGGAAACGTGCATTTGGGTGCTACCCCTGGGTCTCTGTAGGGCTCCTCAGCCCCTGGAGGGAGCATTCTGTCTGACCCCATCCAGTCCAGACCCTCAGGAGCCATGCTGCCGAAGCCCCCCTTGGCTACTGCATCTTCAGTGAGAGGCCACTTGTAGCCCAGAAGAGGGGGATAGACTTTGTGAATGAAGTCTAGGACAATGGTGGGCTGCGAGCTGGATTGCCCAGGCTGACTTCCAACCCGGCGTCAGACATGGGTCTGTTCCTGGGTGACTTCTGCTGATGTACAGCGGCGCCATCTTTCCCTGCTGACCTGCCTCTCTCTCACAGGCCATCACCACAGAAGGGAAGTACTGGAAAAGCCGCATTGAGATCGTGATCCGGGAATATCACAAGTGGAGAACCTACTTCAAGAAAAGGGTAACTGGCTTGGGCTCCAAAAAGAGCATGTTGGGGAAGTGGCCCCAGAGGAAGGAAAGGGTGAGTCCTGCACTCAAACACTGGCCCTGAGGCTGCAGCTTCATAGCTGCCCGTGGAATGAGCATCTGGGTTTCCAAGTGATGGGCCTGCTGTGGTCGTGATGTTTGCTGTCAGCTCCTCCATCTGTGAACAGGCTTTTTGACTCACAAACACTGGTCAGGAATCTCCTTTGCTGGGCATGGCCTGGGGGTGGCAGGGAGCAGGACTCTCTCCCCACCTGCTCCCAGAGAGAGGATCCTAGATGTTTCCGGAGTCCACGCTCTTTTAGGGAGGAGCGGCTGAGGGCCTCATCTCTTCCCGGGCCGTGGGTAACCAGCTCGTCTCCTTTTCTCCATAGTTACAGCAGCACAAGGATGAGGACCTCTCCAGCCTGGCCCAGGTGAGGGAGCTTGGGGATGTGAGGACTCTCATAGGGAACCCCCTTTTGACAAGAAACAGAAGTAACTTTGATGGCTTGACAAGTGAGCCCCACATCAGAGGAGGTTGGGGACATGGACTCTCCCTGAGGCTAAAGGAGGGGCCACTGCCTTCTCACATGAAAGACTGAAGGGCGAGGAAAGGGGTCAGTTCTCCGCTGGGTGAGCTGCAGGGGTTTCTCCCCAGTTCTGCACCCACTCACGTTCTGTGCAGCAGCCCCTGCCACACTGTAGAATAGGGGGGCATATGTCCCCAGCACAGCATGGTTGGGAGCTCTGAGTCCACCACCGTCTGTTCGACTTCTCCATCCCCTCTATTGGCGGTAGGAAGATGACATGCTTTATTGGCACAAACATCGGGATGGATGGAAGACCCCAGTCCCAATGGAAGAGGACCCACTGCTGGACACAGACATGCTCATGTCAGAATTCAGCGACACACTTTTTTCCACACTCTCCTCACACCCACCGGTGGCCTGGCCCAACCCACGGGAAATAGGTAACCCACCCCCAGATCCCTGGCTTTGAGTGCCTGGCTGGTTTCCTTCTCTGTCAGGCCTCCCTGGGGCAGGCTTCACCTCAGGGCCATCTCTGAGCAGCTGCAGGTCACTTGTTAGGAGCAGGCGGTAAGAAGGAAGATTGACCAACCTCATTGACATCTGACGGCCACATGCATTGAGTGGGTGGGGACTGCAAGTTGAGTCTACCTAGGAGCTGTCAGGCCCATGGTATCTCTGTGAGAAACAGTGGGGGTTTGATCTGAATCAGTTTCACATTTCTGATTCTGTCCCCTTAGCAAAGGCTGTGTGCCTAGCCCAAGTGACAGGGCCTGTGACTCATTTTGAAGAAGATGGGAAGCACTCCTGGGCATGACCTCTCATCTGGCTGCATTCAGCTGTCCAGCTCACCCATCAGGGAAGAGCCCACAGAATGAGAATTGGGATCTCTGCAGAACTATTCACGATTCCTGGGAGTGTCTGTTCCTGATACTTAATTTAACTTTCTTGCAAAAATTTCACATTTTTTCTGCATTCTGAGGGTAGAGAATGGCCATGAACCCACAAGAAGGTAGAAATCCCAGCCAGTTGCCTACATTTCTTCTTGGAAGAATCTAGAATTTGAGCAGGACCAGGGAGATCCATTCCAGGCCTTTCATATATTCCTACAACTTTGAGAAGGCAAAGTGATTGCTCTGTCTCCTCTCTGATCCTTTCAGCACATCTGGGAAATGCAGACATGATTCAGCCGGGGCTGATTCCTTTGCAGCCCAACCTGGACTTCATGGACACTTTTGAACCTTTCCAAGGTGAGGACATGAGCAGAGAGGGCATGCACCTGCATCTCCTTCGCCCAGGACAAAGCAGACTGGTGCTGCCCTTTCATAGAGGGAACTGTTAGAGTGGGAAAGGGAGCAGGGAGGATTTAGAGTTTCCCCAGCACTACTGTCTTTTTTGGTTGTAGCTGCAAAGTCTGCAAGTTTGGGGCATTGCTGTCGTGGGAATGGTCTCATTCTCAGTCTCAAGAGCCTCTGGTTTGGCCATGACTGTGAGCAGTTTTCCCTCTAGGCAGCAGAGGGCGCCGGCGACACGGCCACCCCCGCACAGTTTCCTGCAGTTAAAGCTGGTGCTTGAGCTCCCACCATTGTAAGAGCTGGTGAAACCCCAGGCCTGGGAGTATTTCAGAGCTCACACTAGTTGCCATCAGGTGTGGTTCCAATCAGAGGACCTCTTTCTGCAGAGTTACCTCAGGGGGAATGCCCTCTGGCCATGGCATGCCTCTGGGTAAGGTGGGGTTCAGATACTGATTTGTTTGCATTTTAATTCAAGGAAGTGACAGACACACGGAGCTCAAAAGCCCCAATGTTGTCTTTCAGAACTCTTCTCTTCCAGCCGCTCCATTTTTGGCTCCATGCTGTCTGCACCTGCCTCAACATCTGCACCAGATCCCAACAGCCCACCTGCTCAGGTAGGGGGAGCTGGGGGAGGGGCACAGGGCTGGTCATGAAACCTCTGCAGTCATGGCTATGCCAATGACATGACCACACAGTCATGAGCAAAGTGCTAAGGGCTGCTAGATCACAAGAAATTATGCTATCCCCCTTTGAAAGCATCCTGGAGATTCACGTGCTGGGAGACTGACTCCATAAACATGTGCTCCTACCTAAGGCTCCAGGTAACCTGTGTGCAGTGAGCTCTGTTCTGACCATTTAAGACAAAGTAAGCACGACAGCAAAAACATGGATCACTAATGAAAAGAAGTTCTGTGTATTTCTTTTAGTTTTTACTCAGCAATCAATGGAGATTGGTTATCGAGTGAGGCCGGGCCTTTTGCGCTGAAGGGGCTCTCAGGCTGGTGCCTGTGTCCAGTTAGACACCAGTAACCTGGCCCATCTTCCATCTGGCTCTGGGAAGAATTTCCTCTGTAGAGATTGAGATCTGAGCAGTTGATTCCTATAGCGTTTCCCTTTTAGGAAGAGGTGAACTCTCTGGAAGTTGATACACGAAACTGTCCTGAGGGAACCCCATGAGCAGCTGGGATCCAGGCTGCCTCTGCTCTGTAACAGAAGATGGCAGGGACTTTTGGGGACCCCTGCTGGACTTTAGAAACAAGATATTCCCAGGCCAAGAGCCAGCTGTGTGCAGACAGTCTCTTTGTCTGAGCCCCGTGTTATCATTTAGTTTCTAATGGAAACAGGACCCCTGTCGACATCTGGGAGACACAGATCCATCCCCCAGATCAGCACTAATGGGCTAACGGGATGGGAGAAGCGCCTTTGTCCCTCTGTCCAGGGGTTCATCTCAGGTGCCCGGCAGACATTGCTGTACTTTGTGGAGTGCAGCACCAGAAAGTGATGGCGAGTTGTGTGATCCCAGTATTTTTTCCTCTCTTCTTTCTCTTCTCAGGAGAGCATCCTGCCCACCACCTCTCTCCCCACCGTGAGCCTCCCTGACAGTCTCATCGCATCCCCCGCAGCCACTGCCCTGGACTCCACAGATAGGCCGGGCTGTGAACGCACTTCCCAGCCTGAGGATCCCTTTATCCAGCCCGCAGACTTTGGTCCCTCAGCGCCCCCACTGAGTGTCCCACAGCCTTTCCTCCCCGTGTTCACCATGCCTGTGCTCTCGCCCAGCCCCACCCCAGTGCCGGCTCCTCCTGCTGTGCCACTAGTCCCTCCTGCCACCCCCCTGAACCCCTCAACCCCACCCACCTTCCTGCAGCCACAGAAGTTTTCTGGAGCCAACAAGTCCCCCGCTGTCATTACCCACACGGCTTCCACCACTCTCACGCACGATGCCTCTGCCACCACCTTCAGCCAGAGCCAGGGCCTTATCATCACCACTCGCCACCCCACCCCCTCAGCATCCCCCTGTGGCCTGGCACTGTCTCCAGCCACCCAGCAGCCAGCTGTTGGGCCTCTGCAACCCCGTTTAACTTTTGTGCATCCCAAACCTGTATCCTTGGCTGGAGGGAGGCCCAAGCAGCCCCCCAAAATAGTGCCTGCTCCCAAACCAGAGCCCGTGTCCTTGGTATTGAAGAATGCTTGCATTGCCCAAGGTGAGTGGGGAGGGAAGCTGGAGTGTGACTCCCTCCACCCCCCGGGATATTCCCCCAGCCCCAAGACTTACATATTCATCACACACACACTACGATGTGAAAAAAAGTTATGAAATACTGCATGTGATTGCTCTTAGTCTGTTTTGTGTTCTGTGTTGTTCCTTTAAAGTTAGTCTCAATCCAGTTGGAAAACACGTGGTCCTGGTCATCTCTTTCTTGTATCTGTAATCTGTCCCCTTCAAAGGGAAATTACAAAAACATGTCAGGGGCGTTGTGGCTTTGTCTTTCTGTGCCCTGCGGTGAGAAACGCTATGTCTCAGTGGCAACCAAAGAGTCCCATCTTTCTCCTGGGGGACCCCATTGTGGCTTGGCCAGGCCCGGGGTTAGCACCAGCGTTGAGAGCACGTTTCCAGGGCTTGGGGCCTCCCCCTCACCTTCTTGTTCTGGCAGCTGCCTTCTCAGGACGGCCACAAGCAGTGATCATGACAGGCCCTCTGAAGAGAGAAGGGATGTTGGCTTCAACCGTGTCCCAGTCCAATGTGGTCATCACGCCTGCTCCCATCACCAGGGTGAGGGCCCTGGACAGACCTCAGCATCCTTAAACCCGCAGCATGGCCTGCTCTTGGGCGACCCTCACCCAACATAATGGTAGTCAGGAGTGACCCCTCTCTCGTGTGTCACCCCAGGCTCCTGGAGTCACAGAGTTCCACAGCAGCATCCTGGTGACAGACCTGGGCCACGTCACAAGCAGCCAGCCTGGCCCCATCTCCCGGCTCTTCTCTGCAAGCTCAGTGCAAGACTCCCTAGTGAAGGGCGAGCAGGCCCCACTGCACGGGGGCAGTCCCCAGGGCGCTGTCGCGGGTTCTGGTGAGTGGTCACTGTGGTTGGGACAGTTGGGACTTGTGAGTGAAATGAGCTGGCCCACTCCTGGGTTGGGGAAGCCCCCATGGGTGCCCTAGGATTGAGCCTGGGCTCACAGGCCGAACAGTGAGGTCTCATAAGCCTGCTGATGGCCCGCATGGGAGAGTGAGCCATGCAGGCAGGATAACGCACAGGAGCAGGAAAGCAGCAGGCATGCTGCAGCATGCGTCTTTGTTTTTTGCCTGGGGGCCACTATGGGAGGCTGAAGATGGGTTTCTGAGTCTTGGGACTTGCTGGGGTTCCCTTCCTGTGAGAGCACTGCAGCAGGCACAGCCTTGCCGAGCCCCCCCTCCTGCCCTGTCCCTAAGCAGGGTCTCTGTTCTTCTTAGGTCGGGATGGCCCAAACACTGAGCAGGCCTCTCCGTGTGCTTCAGAACACAGCCCCAGTCCTCAGTCTCCCCAGAACAACTGCTCAGGGAAATACTCTGCAGATTCCAAAAATGTGGTTGTGTTAAAGGTACCACATATCTCTTTTGGGTTTCTGTTCCCTAGGAAGGGTGGGGAGGCAAGGGCCTTTGGGACTGCCATGCCTTTATGAGGGGCACACTAGAAAGGAGAACCATGGCTCAGCTGGTGCTCCCCAGGCTGAGGTAGCCTCGGAAGTGTGGGTGTCGTCACCTTTAATTTTGATATTCAGCCCACTTTATCCACCCCCCACCCACTGACTGGCCTATGGGAGCAACATTGAATCCTGTAATGTGGCAGGAAGTGGCAGCTGTAGGGACAGGAGAGCTTTGCAAGTGGCTGGGAAGTGCCCAACCGGCAGTGTTTGTGCCTTGTCAGGACTTTGAGGTCCTTGCCACACACCATGCTTCAGGGGTGGTTTTCTAGAGTCCCATCCTGTCCCCTCCTGGCTCCTAGCCCAGCCTGTTCAGCTTCCTGTCACCGCTCCTCCAAGCTTCCTCTCACTTAGCTCTCTAGCCTGGCCACAGGGTCCAGTCTGCCCCCAGCAGTCAGCAACAGGTTGAGAGGGCAGGAAGGAGGGACAAGCGGAGGCTGCCTGCAGCACACCCCATATCACAGTGATGGGTCGGTTCCCCAACAGAACCGGCAGATGAAGCACATTTCAGCCGAGCAGAAGAGGCGCTTCAACATCAAGATGGGCTTTGATACCCTAAACAGTTTGATCTCTAATAACTCCAAGCTGGTGAGCTGCCTGGGGGCGTTAGGTGGGGAGCTTGGTCCTAGGGTGTGGGCGCTGCTCTGACCCCACACCCCCTGCAGACTAGCCATGCCATCACGCTGCAGAAGACAGTGGAGTACATCACCAAGCTGCAGCAGGAGCGCAGCCAGATGCAGGAGGAGGCACGGCGACTGCGGGACGAGATCGAGGAGCTCAACGCCACCATCATGTGAGGGCCACCAACATGTGCAGCGGGGGCCTGGAGGCTCAGGCGGTGCCCAGTCCTCACATGTGCGCCACACAGGCAGGATCCTCCTGCCCATTCGGTGCCCCCGGGGTCCGTAATTGTCACCAGCTGCTCCAAGCTTCCTCTGACTCTTCCTGTCATTGCAGCTCCTGTCAGCAGCTGCTCCCTGCAACAGGAGTCCCCGTCACCCGGCGCCAGTTTGATCACATGACAGACATGTTTGATGAGTATGTGAAGAGCCGGACCTTGCAGAATTGGAAGTTCTGGATTGTATCCTTGGGTTTCTTTTGACCACCCCACCCCAAACCAGGGCACCAAAACCGCAGACATCCACACTCTAGTCCTTTAGAAAGGTTCTCATATAATGGCTGTCATTCAGTTTGTGAAACAACAAGGTCAGTTTTCTGCTTGGGAGAGCAGGGGCCAGGCCCAAAACATGGAGTAGGGCTATCGTTGGCCACTGTTCGGGGTCGGGGCTTCCCGGGGAGGCAGAACAGGCCAGCATTGCTCTCTGAGTTCTTGAGGACTAAAGACAAGAGCCGCTTGCAGAAGGAAGTGGCCTCTAGCCTAACATATCCGGGCAGCACCTTCTCCTGGGGTAGTCGGGAGTGCGTACCAGGTGTCAGATGAGAGACCAGGCTCACAAAACCAAGCGGCAGAGCCTGGATTTGAAACCAGTTCCTTCCAGGCTGCTCCCTGGTACGTACCCCAGGCCTTGAATGCTGTCATGAGGCACTTACACCTGTGTGCTGGGCCCTGTCTCTGGCCAAGGCCTCCTTTAGCTGGCCTTCAGATGGCCCTTTCAGGGGATGGCTCCTCCTTCTCACTGCCCACCCAGCCACTACTCTGCCTCGGTTGGCCACTGCCTCAACCTTGGGTGTGACAGATGGGTCTGGACTTACAATGGTTAGATGGGATTTTCAACTTTAGGATGGTGATATGAATAGTAAATTGCGTGAGATAGTCAATACAGTTATAAAATGGGCTTTGTGTTAGATCAGTGATTTTCAACTGGTGTGCCACAAGAATTTTTTTTTAAATCCTCACTCAAGGATATTTTTCCACTGATTTTTAAAGAGAGCGGAAGAGAGAGGGAAAGACAGAGAGAAATATCAATGTGAGAGAAATACATCAATTGATTGCCTCCTGCACGAGACCCGGCCAGGGAGGAGTCTGCAACCGAGGTATATGCCCTTGACTGGAATCGAACCCGGGACCCCCCAGTCCGCAGGCCGACACTCCATCCACTGAGCCAAACCGGTTTCGGCAAGAATTTTTAAAACATGCAATACCTGACTATTTCGGCAGGGGCACTGATCTCTTTTCCCTTAGATTGTCAAATTTAAAAAATGACAACAGCCAACACAAATAACCAGAATTCTATCCCACTTTTTTGTCATATAGGCAAAAAAGATATTTGCATCTAAATTTTTGGTGTGCCGCAGAATTTAATTAGTTTATGTGTGCCATGAGATGAAAAGGGTTGAAAATCACTGTGTGAGATGAGTTTGCCCAACTGTAGGCTAATGTGAGTGTTCGGAGCATGTTTAAGGTAGGTTAGGCTAAGGTATGATGTTCCGTGAGTTAGGTGTAATAAATACATTTTTTACTTAGGGATTTATCAAGATGTAACCCTGTCATTAGGCAAGGAGCATCTGTATACATATAATATGTTGTGTTCACGTCATTGCACCAGGATCCATTCCAGACCAAAAAATGTTTCTGTCCCTGCCTCCAGCCTGCTCAGTGATCAGTTATAGTTACACTTGATCTTAGCCAAAAGGCCAGGAAGCGATGGGGGTCAGTTACAGTTTGATAGAAGCATCTTAGGCAAACGGAAGGGCACACTTACCTCATCCAGATCTCTGTTGCTCAACTATCTGTACACAATTACTTGCCTGTCCCAAGGGAACAGGCCCTCCTCCTCGCTTACCTTTTCTTTAACCCACGTCCCTGCAGTTCAGTATCATCATCAAGCCGCTATTCGAGTCCTTCAAGGGGATGGTGTCCACCAGCAGCCTGGAAGAACTGCACCGGACGGCACTGTCCTGGCTGGACCAGCGCTGCTCCTTGCCCAAACTCAGGCCAAGTGAGTGAGGTGCTGCACAGGGGCGGTGGGGTTGGAGGCTGCCACCTCCGCATTAGTGCCGGAGAGACGAGGACACTTGAGGCTGCAGAAAACCCAGGTCCCACTGTAAGCAACCATGCATACAGGGCCCGGGGCATGAGGATGGTGCTGTGCATAGTCCTGAGCCAGTCATGCCAATGGCAGGGCAGGGAACAGTCCTACCCAGCGCCTTTCTGTGGCTTCAGTTTGTCAGTTCAGTCAGATCCAGCTTATGTTTATTGAGCTCTTCCTATTGGCTGGGCCCTTTCAGGTGTTGCCTTGTTTAATTCTTATAACTAACAGAGCTGTGTCTATACGTTAAGGTGGTAGTAACACCGATGCACAAGCCAGAAGAGCTTAGGCCTCTCCACCTATCTGCAGGCTACGGATAGGATTCGGAGAGCTGCCTTAAAGGCAGAGGGGCTGTCCTGGTGTCCCTGTCCTCCTCTGGCAAGCATGAGAGTCACACGATGGTTGTATGCGTAAGGGCACATGTGCTACTGTCCGTGGTGGGATTCAAAGCTGCCACCTGCACCGTGTCTTCGGGCTAACTCCCCCTCCTGTCTTCCAGTGGTGCTGAGCACCCTCCGGCATCTGAGCACCACCACCTCCATTCTGACAGACCCGTCCCAGCTGCCAGAGCAGGCCGCGGAGGCTGTCACCAGACGTGGCAAGAGATCGGGGGAGTCTTAGTGCTTAGCCGGCACATGCCGCACAAGATGCCAGAAGACCCTTCCCTGCCTGTGGAGAGGAGGCTGCATCCCACACCTCTCCTGACGCAGAGCCTCAGGGCCTCCCTCCAACTCTGCCAGCCCCCTGGGCCGCACGAATGCCACGCTCAGGTCTGAGGCAGGTTCGGGTCCTGCCAACAGCAATAGTCCATCCTTGGGAGCTCCTTGCTGTCAACTCTCACTCAGCGACCTCAGTCACAACCTCCGCTGCCCTCAGGGCAGCCCAGACAGGGAAACACCACAGTTCATTCCTGTCCTGCTGGTCTGCCAGGCCCACGGAAGTAGGTGGGCCCGAGGAGGCAACACCTGCTCCTGGAATTAGAAAACGAACAGGTCCCTGCCCAGTCCCTGTCTGTTGCGTCCTGGCGGTCATCTCTGGATGATTCCCTGCTGCTCTGGCCCGCCCTGGGGCGGCAGGATACATTTTCCTTCCTCCCCCAGACTCTGACCTGTAGACAGGCTTGGACAGCTGCTCAGGCTTTTGCATGGCCAGCTGCCTGGGAAACCCCGGACTCGCGTGTGCAAAAGCAGAGGGTGTGAATGCACGTGGACAGAAAGGAAAGCACAAACAATGCAAAGCTGCTGCTCCAGCTCGGAGACCCTCCTGGGTGGCCTGTGACCTGTTCTGATTTGGCTCCACTTGCTGTGGCGGGCAGCACCCCCAGCATCGCTGATGGCAATGGTGGTGTGGACTTGGTCCAAGATTTTGCCAGGCGTGAGCTCTCAGAGTGGCCTTTCCACCCTGTTTTCCACCGGCTTTCACACTCGGCCTCGGACACGCCAGCAGTGGCCCTTCGGGTGCAGCATTCAAAAAGCCAGGTTCCAGGGTGCTTCCACCAACCTGGTCATCTTGTCTGCATTGTTCACCCGGGAGCCTCAAACTGGAATGGTTCTCGGACCAAAGAGGTCACCACACCCAAAGGCTGTCCTGTCCTGTTTGGAGGAAGAAATGGAATGTCGACAGGTGGAATTCCTGGTCAGCCTCAGCTGTCCAGACATTGCCCAGATCCAATAGTAAAGAATTGCACTGAGTTGATAGGTGGGGGGGTCCCTAGGGCACCGGGCTGTTTCCGGGTATGGGGATTACAGCGAAGGGTCCAGAGGAAGGCATGGCAGGAGGCTGGTCTGGGCCAGTCCTCACTGTGTCTGCAGGAGTAGCTGTGGGTGAAAGGCGCTCTAACACCCAGGAAGCCTAGCCCGGCCAAAGGCACCTTCTTGTTGAAAGAATGTGTTTTTATCGTCCTGCTGTGAAGTTCAGAGGGGCCCGCTGGCTCTCCTCCCACCAGAGATGGAGCTGGACAGTGCTGGGCAGGCCAGGAGAGCTGGGTGGGCTTTGAGGAGGCCCAGGAGCCATGTGAGGGGGACCACAGCTACCTCCTGAAGTTCTGATCCACTAGGAGGCTCCCCCTGGTTCCTGGAGGACTGAGGAAGGTGCTCAGAGGGCGGCCAGCCCTGCCTCAGCCTGGGGTGGTGAGGCTGGATGGGGGTTCTTCCCCATGTTGCCGTCCACACCAGCACCACTACTGCAGGTCACGAACCTGTCACCTGCCCCCTGGTCTATGCTTCCACCCCCTCGGCCTCCCCAGAACACGTGTTTACAGGCCTCTGGATCCCTCTGCTGAGAGGCAAGCACAAGATGAGGCTGGGCTGGTTCCTCATTTGCATGGGATGTGGTAAGAGAACCATCGTTACCCCCAGGTAAACATGAAGCCCCCTTCAAAAGGGGAAGACCACCGTGGTAAGGGCTCCCCTAGGGCCAAGGGGAAAAGGAAAACACGAAACGTTCGCAGCTGTTAGGGCTCATGGAGGGGCGTGAGCTCGGCCCCTCCACAGATCTGTGCCTTCATAAACCACGTGGGTGGCCGCAGTGCTTGGCCCAGCCTAGACCGCTCCTAAATCTGTAGCTTTCTTCCCACCCCTTGCTGGGAGTCCTTTTTTTAAAACAAATTCAGATATAAAATGGGCCTCTTGCTTCGTTGGCCTACCTCTCTCCATTTCTCCCTTTTGCTGATTTAATGATCAGATTGTGTTTTGGTAGCTGTTGAAGGCTGTTAGGTTATGTGTGACTTCGAAGGGTGTGTGTCTGTGTGGCATGTTTTTGTTTGAGGTATTTCCTTAAATCCATTTCTCTTGGTGCTCACGATTACCGTGGCTGTAGGGCCACAAAGCTGTTTCTCTTACTGCAGACACACTGTTGCTAGTCCTCCAGGTTTTCTTGTTCTTGAATCTTGCCTGATGAATCTGGCCAGCACAAGAGCCTCTCAACCTCTATCCTCGGGTCCCGGCCAGGGCATGGGGAAGCTGAGGCAGTCTGCCAACGGCCTCCAGTAGATGCTGACCACGGGCTGTGGTTTGTTTACACTTATTTCACTCCAACTCCCATAAAAGAGACTTAAAAATGCTGACACTTTGGAGAATGAGAAAATCAATCTGAAAAGGGGAAAAAAATCCTGTCTGGTACATTCATTTCTGCAAGTATTTCTGTGAAATCTTTCTGTGCCATCAGCTCCCTGCACCGCTCTTTCCTCTTTCACAATGAGTGGGGATGCAGGGACAGAGCAGAGGCCACTGTGGGGCTTTCTGAAAGCCGAAAGGCCTGTCCCTCCTGACCCAGGCAGTTTACACACCAGCTGTCACCCTCAGCAGGTCCCCGACCTGTGGCAGACCCACAGCTTTGCAGCAGTTTTCACAGCACCAGGGAAGCAGTTCCTACGTCAGAAATTAGTGCTGATGGAAGGAGGGGCCGCCGGGGCAGGTCAGTGAAATCCCCAGCATGCTGTGGATTGAGGTTGCATATGGGTCCTTGGGCAACCACCTTTCTCCACTTCCTGTCCTTGTGACATGACCCCATTTCACCTTTCCTAAGGTCGGGCCTGAAGGTGTTTTTGCTGTGCCAATAGAAATATAAACTTAGGTTCTTAGAGGACATGGCACTCCAGCGTGGTGCCCAGCCCCTTTGTCCCATCCAGGTGAAGGGGTGTGGTCGTGGGTGACATCATTCATTGCCTGATCCTAGCTTAGCCACCTCCAAAAGGGGTCACACACCCCTGTCTCCATGTGCAGTTCTGGCTGGCTCCACCCCAGCTTCCTCTCAGGTTGGGCCTCCTTCCTTGAGAGGCCTGGCTTCCCACCAAACGAATCTAGGGACAGCAGGATCGTTGTTTTCAAGATCACAAGTGTTTGCTTTCTGGCTGAACAAGAGCTCATCAGAGTGGAGCGGGGCTGTACTGTGGGTCTGTCCCCCCGTGGCCAGCAGACTCGCTCAGCGTGCAGGAGGTGGGTGCTGTGGGCCAGGCCCCACGCTGCCTGCCCTGGCCTCCTCGGTTCAGTTCTTTTACCTCACTGGCTCCGATGGGCAGGCTTGGAGCATTGCCTCATCACCCCTCCTACTCTCAGCAGCCCCTTCCACTCCGGTGGTCGCCTGGTCCCTCCACGGTCTTTGTCCCACTGACTGGGTGTAAGCTGGGCTGCTCTTCTATCTGGTGGGAGATTGCTTTTCCCAGGAGATTCCCTGCTCCCCATTAAGCTCTTTGCAGTAGGTGAACTGCCCCCCCTGCCCCCCCAGCCCTCACTCCCTACACTTAGCTTTGCAAAGTGTTCTCTGTGGGACCTGGTTGGGATGGAGCTGGGAGAGCCCTGATGTGGCCGCCTCGGGCTCGGTGCCTCATACATTAAGATCTTCCCCACGTCTGAGCATGGGGAAGGAGAGAGGGCGAGGCTGGAGGATGGAAGAGCTTGGAAGCTCCACATGTTTGTACCATTCAGGAGCTGCCTTGGTCGTGGCCCACTCAGCAGGTCGTTGTTGGAGGGGGGGCTCCAGGAACAGGGAAAAGCATTGG